TGACTGGACAAACAGTGGAATCCATTTAACTTGCACGGCTGAAGGAAGACACTCCGCATTCGTCTGTTGACAGAAGCTACCCTCTGGAAGGCATTTCTTCAGGACCACGTACTGGGGTTCGTAATTCAAGTCGTGCAGTTGGCTGTCCTTTGGTAGAAGATCCGAAACCTTAAAATGTAGCTCCTTGGGTTCGCATCCATGGACATGAGTTCAGACAATAATTCTTCTTGTCGTCTGTTATCCTCGTCAGTTCTAGGATTCACAGAAACGATTTCTCCGATGCTTATATTCTTTTTATTTTCGATAATGCTGTCGTTTTGAGTAGATGTATTATATTCATTACACGTATATCCATTTACTTCTTCCTCGCATGTTTTGTGATTAAGGCACATGACCAGCGGTATATAAAATAATTACGGATATCGCCGCGACACCTCCAAGACAGCACAATATCTTCTGTTGCATTTTCCAGCTGCTGCCTGTGTTTCTTGTCCGCTGTTATTTTTCCGGATCACAAAGTGCCACTTTTTCTGCCATTTTGTTTCAACTGTGCACTCAGGTTTCAGTGAGTTCTTGCCGGTGAGAAGATTTCAGCCAAGTAAGAACGGCAAAGCTTGACTGATGCGTCTGCCTCGGTGGATATCACGCAGCGACTGACTTTATCTTAACCCGTTGCGCCACAGATTGGATTTTTTTTTTCTATACAGTATGTTCAAGAAATATGTATTTGCAATACTTAGTCTCAAAGTTATCAAAATCTGAATGTTATATTGTTTGTTTTATGCAAAATTTACAAAATTCGTGTGCACAATTTCTATTATTTTGCGATATTTTATAATCATTACGAACTAATCGTGACGCAATCCTTGCCGACACCTATACCAAACGTTTTCGACATGTATAAGTTTCACATACGCGTGCCACAACACACACACACACACACACACACACACACACACACACAACACACACATCACATCTATTTATTTATCTATATATACATTTGTGTGTATATACATATATATAATATTTCATATATATGATATATATACACATATATATGTACCTGCGAGGATGTCCAGGGGCACCAGATGACAGTATTGCGTCATGTGACGAAATATTTATACATTCAAGATTTTGGATATATCTAACTGCAATCTAGCCCGATCAATGTGACAAATATACCGTATTTTGCCATGTGCTGTCTGTCTAAGAAGTAGAATGAGATTCAGAAAATAATATAGGCACGCACGTTTGTGTGTAATATGACCAATGTATGTCGGTGGGGGGGGGGTGTACGTGCGTGTGTGTGTGATACTATGGAGATTGCATGAAGGCTGGAATATTCGGGAACCTTCTCTGTCACGTTTTCAAAATGAACCGGGGTGCCATTATCATCCCCTAAAGCGACAACATTCCGCATTTTGTTTACATTAAAATATCTCACATATTATAGAAACCCTTTCATTATATACCTGAAAAACACTTTCCTTGTTCATTACAGCGCAAAGTAAACTACATCAGAGGCCTACATAAAACGGGAATATTACTTACTGGGTAGCAGGATGTGTCGTCATTCCTTGGCGGAAATTACGTAGCAAACATAACGACAAATCGCTATCTATCCCTAATCAGATGAACCCGAATAAAGAATAACACTAGCATCTGAAAGGCTTCACTGCATGGATCGTAATCCTAATGTTTAACGTAAATCCATAACGAACTAAAACGATTTAAGACATATGAATCACGAATTTTGTTCTTCTAGAACTTTCGAGTTGACGATGGAATCTTACTCCTTGAGAATGTTCGAGAAACCGCTTATCAGTGTTATCAGCCAAGCACCGTCTGTTCTGCTAGACATTGCAAGGTCGCCTATTTTGCAATAACTTTCTTTCGTGTAACAAATTTGTATTCAAAGCAGTAAATATTCAGACTTTCAAGAAAATCGTCGTAACATTGCCTACAGCCTAAATAATTTTCCTTCATATCACCCAGCAGACTACCTAAAAAGTTCGTCTAAAACGTTCTTGTGATGCCTGAAAGCTATTTTAAGGAGGCGGAGCTTCATATCGGTATCAATATAAAAGGGTACATTTCCCCCCTCACTTTCAGTCTCCTGCTAGCTACCTCCGTCAACGTTCTTCTAAACGTCTGCTGCTTTTCATTTGCAACATCATCGGAACTTCTAAGCGTTTGCCAACAAGAAACTTTGCGGAACAAGAAAATTATGTATTCAACCAGACAAATTGTTAATGCCGAGGAAGGTCTAAGATTAAACGAAAATATACCAGAAAGTGATCCAATGTTTTTCGAAGTTGTAGAGACGAATGGCACTGAACAACCTGTTCGAGCCAGCCACCACGAAAATCTGGATTGCATCATTAATCACCATTTTATTAGTGTTATCAGTCGTAATCCCACTTGGCGTGTGGCAAATTGTTCGTAAACGTGAACCAACATGCCATGCGAGACTGAACACGGATTCCAATACAACTGCCAAAACTACAGTACTAATGCCGATGAGACCAACACTACTATTCAAAACTATAGTACTAATGCTTACGAAACTAATACAATCACTGCAAGAGTTTCACTTGAACGTCCTACAAACGAAGAAGATTTTATTCAATTCCAAAAGAACATAGATAGAATTAACTCAGTTGTGTGCGAACCTAAATTACAAAATTATTCAACCAAGATATTTCTCCCAAAAGACCACTTTCTCCGTGAAGAGGAGTTTGAACCCGAGCTTGTAGGAATATACAAGTGTGATGAAAACAGCCACTGCCAAGGCACGGGTAAGCGATGTGTCTCCTCAACCAAAGCGCGAGGAAAAGATTCCAATTCTTTACAAGAAACCTGGATACAAACTAGTGACGTACGATTTGACTCTTCTCGAAGATCTGTCCTGTTCTTGTGCATCAGGGAATTAATTTCGAAAAATTAAACGGCTTGTTATGTTCTGTTTTATCTGGTGCAAAACTTATGACATACACGTGGGCATGAGAGCTGATAGGCAGTTTCAACCGAGTGCTCAGGAGCGTGACGGGCAGAATTTAAAATTAATTTACGTCTATTTGTAAATGAAAAAAAAAATCTCCACATTTCTCTATTCTAGCCCAAGTATTATTATATATATATTATATATATTATATATATATATATATTATATATTATATATATATATATGTATTATATATATTATCAGTTGTAAAAGAATGCATGATTATGGTAAGTGAGCTCACACAGCTGGAATTTTGTAATCCTGTATACCATCTAACAGAACACTGAGGTACACTTACATAATAAGCTTATACAAAAACAAAAAAAATCAGATGTTGACTTTAAACTTTTAATGCATTACCTTAAAAAATGTTTAACCATCAAAATCCCCTTTTCTAAAACTAGACAGCAGATTTCACTAGCCTGGGGTATGTCCTCTTTTGCCTGACACAAAAATTGTCCAAGCAGGCTACTGATTCTAAAATGAATCATACAAAAATCGATTATTAAGATGCAGATTGTGCATGACTGGTTTCTCTGTAACCCCTTACTCGAAATAAAAATATGAACGAATTTCTTTAATAAATGTTTATATTTATGTTATGTGTGTGTGTGTGCTGAGTGTGTGTGTGTGTGTGTTGTGTGTGTGTGTGTGTGTGGTGTGTATGTGTGTGTATGTGTGTGTGTGTGTGTGGTGTGTGTGTGTGTGTGTGAGTGAGTGAGTGATGTGTGTGAGTGAGTGAGGATGAGTGAGTGAGAGAGAGAGAGAGAGAGAGAGAGAGAGAGAGAGTCAGTCAGTCAGTCAGTCAGTCTGGACAAGTCTTGAGGGGACAGCCATGCTGATTTGTTTTTTGTTGATATTTCAGCATACTTTGTGAAATGAGGTGAGCGATGGTTTCCCCGAACTCGCTCTATGCCTTGCAGTGTTTTCAGCAACCAATCAGATTTATGGCGAATAATGACGTCAATGACGGCAGCCTAACTCCAAACGCGGTGGACTTTCAGTAGTCTTTAAAAGACGGCTAATTATACAGGCCATTCTACGGAAATTCGTCTGTTAAACGGAAACAAAAGACAAAAGACGGATGGTGACGTCACCGGATTTTTTTTCGTAGGCTGTATTTTAGTTATTTCTTTTTTTTTTTAATGACTACAGATGATTAGATGCAAATGAAAGTTCCATTTCATTATTCATATCCGTTTTCTTCATTATCTAATGTGTAGAGAACGACAGAGATGCTACTACGGAAAAGCGGCTAACTCTCGGCTAATTATTGCATCAACAGAAGGAAGGACCAATAAATATGATTGGAAATGAAAGAGGCGAGAAGCCTGTCAACAAATGAAATAGATTTTTGTAATTGATTATTTACACCAGAAATTCACTATCTTATCTATTATCTTATTTTCCTTCCCAAAAAGAAGTGTTCATTACTGGAAGAATAAAAACGAAATATCCGTATTTCCAAAAGGAACTGACATTTGAACCTTAGAAGTTAACCTGTGTTATACTGAATTAATGTGTTGATGACGGAAAATAAAAGTTGTCTTTATTATGTATTCAATGTTTCACGGAATGGAAAGGGGAAATGCAATAAAACTGAAAGTATTCAAAAACGATTCCAACATACAAAATGTTTTGTATCTTGAAAAAGTATAAATGAAAAGAATACTGAAAAGAAAATTTATACAATATCCAAAAAGTTACGTTTGATGTTGACATGCAAGGAAAGCAATAGTGGGTTCCTGCAAGAGCATTTTTGACAAATACAAAACTGAAAAATATATATGAATTCTGGAATCATTCCATAAATCAGTATCTCAACATGTAAACTCCAATACTATACTTTAAATCAGTCTGAACCTATGAATATAAACAACCATAAAAACACAATTCACATACTTTTAAATTTTCACAGATATCACATCTAGAGAAAATATCAAGGCATGAAATACATTTTATGTGAAAAATCTCTCTTCCGTAACCCTGATCTAAGGACAAGTCTCGATCCTTCTGCTCGAGATCGAAAAGTTACATGTGTAGGCCATACTACACTATATTTCACGTTGTTGTTATATTTCCCTTGTTTTTAAGATTTTACTCACAGTTATTAGAAGAATGAAGCTCATTACGCATAATATGTTGACTAGTAAAGGTATAAAGAACGTAAAGGAGGGATTTCCGCTAAAGATACAGGTAACATTCTTGTGTATTTTTGAAATAATGGACTGATTAATTAATTTACTTTCATTGCTATATATTTATTTATGTGCTTACTTTTATTTCTTGTTAAATGTTGCTTCTCTGATAGTGTATTATGAATTAGTGCTATATTACATGCATACTAGACATATTTCTTCATCCACACACTTTATCAATCATAAAATGTATTTATTGTCATTGATAATGTTCATCTAATATTAATACGAATGAATTGCTTGACATGTTGGTATTTTCCAGTTGCACACAACCATCAATTCTTGCAATTATTATTCTTATTGTTTACTTTTCCCACAGCCATGTAGTACAAGACCCCAGACCCACATCTGATCTCTGTAGTCTCCGGTAATTTTTTTGAATACCTTTGAATAACTGACCAAGGTGGTTTTGATATTGAGGGATTCATATTACCCGCTGCTATATCCAAATTATGATGCAGAACCCCCCCCCTCCCCCAATAGCGTTGTAGGGAGAACACGTAACGGAACTCTATTTCGCAAAATGGAATGTTATACACGAAATGGAACATAATATTGCGTAATTTACCAAATGATGCACAGTACAAGGCACAAATAACCTTTTTTATGCCTCAGTTGTGTTCATATGTTCAACTTAGTGTTGCAGGTATCGATGCACGGAAACCAAATCGGGAAAACACATCAACAAGGCTCCGTGCCGCCTACTGGCCGACTTAGCAGAAGTGCTGCCATCTGTTGAAAGCTCGATAGAATAACAGCTGAACAGCAACAATGTCAGACTTACGAATAATGATATAATATAAAAAGTAGTCTAGTCTACTTAATTAACGGTAATTATTTGATTGACACATTGCTTGACACGTTGCTTGTGCTCGCTACATGGCAGCAGCTCTCCCACAGGCCGTGGGCCCATCTATTATCGGCCATACCTTGAAATCTCTGGCGAAATTACAGTTAATCCTCTCTGGGTATTTGGATATGGTTCAAGAGGGGATGCCTGCATGTGTATCTGAAGGTTTGCACACAAAAAGACCTCTTTTCATTCCATTTCGTATACGGCATTCCATTTCACGAAATGAAATTACAATACGTGTTTCCCCAGACCCCCTAATTGGTGACAATCTTGGCCCCACTAGCAAGGGAGATCATGGAAGGTACCAAGGAAATTGCAGGGTAAGATATTGAGTAATATACAGAGAATCATTCTCTTTAGTGTTTAATGCACGGGGCTGTGACACATATGACCACCCCACCTGGGGGGCTGTAGCCCCCAAACCCCTGCAATGGAAGATAAAGAATCCTCCATGTATTTGCAGCAGGGTAGAGCATACATGTGGGAGTGCCTGATGCCATATCTCTCCGATGCTCAATCCTGCTATGAATATGTATAAGATTCTTTGTTTTCCTTGCCAGAGGGTGGCCCGGTTAGAAAATATGTTATTTTTCGCGGACATGTCATAGTAAGCAATGACAATGATATTCTGTGACTTACTAATGAAGTGATTGTTATTTATATATTTGTTTAAAATATGGATGGGCTTTGTTTTGTTTTGTTACATTAGTTATGTTTGAATTCAAATATCTGCAAGAAAGAAAATTGGATGCAAGCAAAAATGATCGTAGCCTCAACTCAAAACTATTAGAGATTGGCGTCACTAGAAGCATTTGCCTGTTTTCCAACCTGGGAAGTTGGGAGGCAGTAGTCCCCCCATTATGGGGTTGCACTGCATCAGACAATATAGTGACTGATGATTCATATTTTATCCCACAATATCCTTTCATATTTTATCCTACAGTTTTGCTTGTACCTTTCATACCTTCCCCTGCTCTCAGGGCCAAGAATGATAGGGTTTGGGGGGTTCCATAGCATAATTCCTATATATATATGTTTACTAATAGGTGAGAGGAATTGTTGCGATCGGTTATGAGGTGTTGAGAAAAATTATCCTTTTTCCCTAGTGGGGGCTCCATACCTGGACGCCCACATGATTGCGTACTTTTTACACAGCATTTGTTGTGATCTAATTTCTTGTTTTCTAAAGTTATTTTTTGCCTATGCAGATTATTTCATGTATTAGTGAGAGCAGTTTTTCTTTTGGATTATTTTAGTGCCATTACATTTTCCTGTTAATGTATACCAAAAGATTGTGTTGCACAGCTTTCTTATTATGTGAAGACAATACCATGGATGAAAAGTGCTATATTTTTGGTCATTGTGTTTATTACAGGCAAATTTTAATCTGTACTACATGGGTGTGGGAAGCTGAAACTGTAACCCCCCACTCCTTTGCCCATTGTTTTCATGGGGATTTGGTCTTATTGGTGGGGATCATCTTAGGCCTCAGCCCTCGACTTGAGTAATGTAGCACAGTCTTTTCTTTTTCCCTGTTCCATTTTCTTCTTTTCTTCCACCCCTTTTACAATCCATTTCCTAAGCTCTGAAACCTGTGCTGCAAGGATGAAAGGTTGTTTCTGTGCTAGTCATGAACAGTCTATGGTAGCCATGGGCATGGTATTTCCTGGTATAATTGTATTCATATTAAGGGCAATGCTGTTTGCCCCTTTAGTAACAAGCCACTCACTTTAATTATCCTGATTCCCTGACCCAAGGCTCTCCTTTGACCATGATCCTGGACACTGCCACTACTACCCTCTCCTCAATGCCTACTATCATCTCAGTCCAGTCCAAATCATCCACCCAGGTCATTAATCAACCTCCAGAAATCTTTCCTCCTCTCCTAACATCCTCTACTTCATCTCCACCACCCTCACAGCTCTCTAAATCTACTACCCCCTTTTCCCTTATTATTACTGCACCTTTAGTGTCACCTATCCACCGTACTACATCTTTCAAAACTACTTTCACTTTCACATGTTCCTGTCCTTCTGCTACCCCCACATTTTGAATACTCTTTTTAGTCCAGCCAAATATGACATATTTTTTGTGATCCTCTCTATAGACCCTTACTCTGACTAAACTCTCCTCTTTCAGCAATATCTCCAAAAACAAATAGGCAAAGTATCCTTCTGCAGCCCTTCTGAATGTTCCCACCTTGTCATAGTTACATCCTAATCCCAAGTTAAGGAAATATCAGTCCTGACTGACTCTACTGGAAAGCCCATTCTTGCCCAACCTTATCCTACCCTTACTACTTGTACGGACACTGTCTCCATCTCCCCAACAAACAGGCCTGTCTATGAAAAGTATTGGTCAGATTGTGGAAAGAAACTTACTCACCTGCCTTGTGGACTATGATACAATATCAGTACAATGCTAAACCATTCCTCAAATGGGCCACCGCAAGTGCTCCATCAATATTGCCAAGATTACTTTCCATAGACATAACCTCCCCAAGATGTTCATATTGGTGGCACAGAGTCCCTCATTCTCCAACCATATCAATCTCCCCTGTCATACTAATTGTTGCCTGCCAAACTCTGCTGCTTGGCAGCCTGATGTCCTCTATGTGCCAACCATGTCATGCTTAATCAAACTGCTCTGCACTGTAACGAAATGTGCCAACTGTGGTGGTTCCCATAATGTATTTTATGGGGCTGCCCTACATACAAGTTTGAGTCTCTGGTGACTATTTTCGGATTCAAACATGGCTTCACTTTATGTGAGGCCAGACAGGAAGCACGTTGACTAGGTTTTTCTCTTACTCCCAACTCTCCTGTTTCATCTGCATCATCCCCCCCTACTTGCCCTTATCCCTTCTGCTTCCCCCAGCTTACACAGGTAACTCTCTGTCACAAACCCCCCCCTTCCTTGAATTCTCTCCCTCTTACCCTTTTCACTACTACATCTTTCTATAGTGCTATTTGACCTTTGATGATTAACACATTTATTTTGCTTTGTAACCATTAACCATTGTCATGTTTCTTTACGCCATTCATGTTAGCAGTAATGGGATTCTGTAGAAGAGCTTTGCTTCTCTAATGATAAAGTATGTGTTATTGAAAGACTGACAGATAGTTGATGATAAATTTTACAAATTATGAATTGTATACCCATTCTATGAAGTTCATCTTTGGGGGAACGAGTCTAATCATAGTTTCATAAGTAGAAGATATCAAGTAATGGTTGAGGTTAATCTTTACCACATAAGGGCTCGCAAGTTAGAGCTATTTCTTCATTGACGTTAAATTGCCAGATAGGACTAGAAGCTCCATCTTGCCATGATATACAGAGTCAGGGTTTGTTGACATTTGCTAGATGTGCCAGGAAATAATTGCTCAACACTGCACCACTCTGATCCCTTCTTTGATTATTATTTCTTTAGATTGTGATGATATAGATCATGATTGTAGTGGCATGAAATATTCCAGAAAAGTTTGTGACTACAGTATCAAATTTATGTGCCATGCAAGTGACCAGACAAATAGTAAATATGAAATATGCGTATTTTGACCTGGTATCTAGGACTGACATGAGTCAATATGTGTAGAATTTAGCTTCAGTTTTGCAGTGTATGGGTAATTTTGTTTTAGACATTGTTAGAGTTGCCAGGTACCAGTTACAACTTGGGCTACTTAGTGTATTGGCTTTTGGGTCTTCCACATTAATCAGTGACTTTCTGCCAGTGATAAGTTTGCTGTATTATGTTGTAGCACCCCCCCCCCCCTCACTCACAGATACATATCTGTGCGGATATACACTTAAATGCATATATACATATACATGCATATATATACGTATATACATACACATACATATATGTATACATGCATATGTACGTATATACTTACACATATATAAATATATATACATGCACATATATACATATACATACATGCATGCATATATACACACACACACAAATATACATAGACATATACATGTACAGAAAGTAGTTGATATTTTATTAATGTTGCCTTCTTTTGTTCACAGGCTGAGGAAGTGAGAAATGTGGATATTGATTTTGACCGGGAATTTATCTCTAGAACTATACCCAAGCTGGACTGGAATGCTCTCATATTTGCAGCGCAGTGTGTAAGTTTGCAGTTCTGTTTTTTCATTTACCCTAATATATTTGATATATATCAATTTGAAAATAGACACTGACCTTTCTTGAAAGTTGTAATATCAGTGAGATAACAAGTATTGCTTAATTACTTTATCTACTGCAGGTAGGGCACCAAGAAGACCTCCCAGAGACCTTACCAGAGAGTTATGATAATGATGAAGACCTCCTGAAGAAGTTGCATCATATATTGCTGGAGGTATGACAATTCTATCGTGTTGCTCAGAATGAGTGGAAGTGGTTGTTTGATTCATGATATGGTTAGACCTGTAATGGATCAGTAGTGTAGCTGCATTGATTTAGATTTAGTTTAGATTAAATGTATACTCGATCATGTAAAACACTATATTAACCCACTAACGCCGGTATATCTTGAAGCCAAAAATAAAAGTTTCTGGGCTTGTACAAAATGAATCGGAGTGCGAGCCCTGATACAGCATCACACTGGCGGGACGCCTGGCAATTCTCTCTCTCACTCACTCACTCGCTCACTCACTCACTCACTCTCTCTCTCTCTCTCTCCTCTCTCTCTCTCTCTCTCTTCTCTCTCTCTCTCTCTCTCTCTCTCTCTCTCTCTCTCTCTCTCTCTCACTCTCTCTTCCCCCCCCCCCCCCCCCCCCCCCTTGTGTCTCATATGTGGGACACCCGTCGTAAGTGGGTTAAGGGGACCGTCCCTGAGAATGGCCACCTTTCCCTACTCTATACACCATAAAAAAATATCGTTAGAGATAACTGATTGATTCTTTTTGCATGCTATAGCAAAGAATTGCGCTTCGTTATATATATAAATTTTAACTTTGCTCCCCATTGGGGGGGCACCCCCAAAAAGTTGAAAAAAATCGCTGTTTTTTTTGGTATGTCTTTCGGTACTTCCCAACTATCAGAGCTCTTTACAGAATATTCCCCCAAAAATGCTAGTGTTAGATCAACTCTAGCCTATAGCCATGTAAAGGCCGAATTTTGAATTTCCTTTTTTTTTTGGCGGGGACAGCTTGACATAGAGAACTATTTTTGAATGCTTTTTCAGCATTAAATATTATTATTTTTTTGATTAAGGCAAAAATTCAAAAATCGGCCTTTTACATGGCTATGGGACGCCGAGGCTCTAGTGAAAGCAACAAACTGCATTTGGATCGCATGAAAATTACGTGAGTTGGGAGTACCGAAGATTCATAAAAAAATGCCGAGCTACGGCGTTTTGTATTTGGCCCTTGCCAAAGTTCGTTATCTCTGTTATTTTTCTCTGAATCTAATGATATTATATATAAAAAAAACGCTTATTTAGTGTACTTTGATACTTTTGGTCACTGGGTGTTTATAATTTTTGAGGAGGATCATATGTACGTGAACGCACGCACATAAAGTTAAAAAGATTAATCATCATCATTTAGTAGGCCTACATTGACTTTCATATCTAAATAATAAAATTTATTAGTTATCCCTCTCATACCCATTTTCTTTGATAATTGTCAATATTAACAGATTGCAAGGAGAACAAGTGTAAAGTTTATGATTAGCCATTTGCACCCATTATCTTTACTAAGAAGTGCATAAAATCATGCAGACGCCTATGTTGTGGGATATTTGCCAATTTATGGTGCCTAAGACTTACGGTAACGTCTAAACATATTCATTTTTATCGGGAACGCACGAAACGGATGCGATAGCTTTTTGAACGCCAGACGAAGACTACGCATACAACCGAGCTCAAAATTCCATATAGTTTTTATTTCAGAGCAGGTATTACTGAGTACTATCATCTTCAACATGAAATAATCTGTATCTCGCTTATACATCCGAAGTTTAAAAATCCGACATTTAGGTAACATTCGTATTGAATTGGTCTTTACAACGGTAACTACCAATTTCAAATCAATTCAAATTGCCCCCTGCTGTGATGTACCGACCGTTGAGCGAAATGTAACGGAAATATTTCAATCCTTCCTTATAAGGCTATTTTTAAACATTAGTGCTTCGTATGTGATATACGTATATATTACCACGTAAACTAAAACATATTACCAGGGAGTCTCGATCAAAGCATATTTCGTGTGTAAAAGGACACAAAACATACATTTTTTTTTAGATATATTTCACAAAATATTTCGTCATAAATCACGGTGATATAATTTTTTCCTGATATTGGTATAAAAGTGTTCCTTGAACATTCACGAACTCATATCTATGCGCAATGTCATAATTAAATGCCTTATGCACGATTGCCGCAAGCAAAAGTCCACATAGGTGTACCTGGGCGCTCAATAGCGACGTACCTCTCCGGGTGCTGAGGGACTCGCACGCCGGCTGCAAGACAACGAGCCATAGCAGGCGGTTAATACTCGTTTGGTAGTTTCCTCATCCATGTACCTATACTATACGCTAACTATCTTAATTTAACCCCCCCCCCCCCTCTCTCAGGGACGGTCCCCTTAAGATGACATTGCTACCAGGAAGAGTAAATTTAAAGTATTTACCCCATTTATTATTTACATTCAACAGGAGACTTTCTTAATTCCAGACATGTAATAACATAGGTGGAAGAACTTATCGGCATACTAGATTATTTAGTAATCAAATTAATAAAACTACTTTTTATTTTTATCAGTTGAAAACATTGTAGTAACTACATTTTCTTCATTTCTTGTATAATGACTTTCTCTCGCTTTTATATAGTTGATGCGCATATGAGAAATATTAATTTGTAAAGATAACTATTATTCTCCCAGTACCATCTATCCTTCCAAGCTAGAGGAGTCACCCAGAACACATTTGGGGAAAAAAAGCATCTGCTTGACTGAAGGTTGTTAGAAAATAAAAAAAAACTCTTGCTTACTACCTAAGTGCTATTAGGTGAGTCACCATATTACAGGGTTAATTTGCAAGTGGCCTCATCTTTCTTCTGTATCATTCAAACTTGATTATCCTTTGCTTCTACTAGAGTTAATGTTTTACTATACTCTGTTTATTCTTTATCACTGTAATTAACTTTTGGACTGCCAGTGGCATTTATGTACACCAGAGGCATCACTATCACACAAATTAGTCATTATTTTGAATGTATTGTATTTTCCTTTGAGTGTTCCTTATCAAGTTTTGATTGCTATGTATGAAGTGTATGGATCATTTTAAAAGTATTTCAAAATTTCAAATTGACCCACCCACCACAGTCCATTTGGTGGTTGATAATCCCCATTTCCGGGCGGTATCAAAGTCGGCGCTTGGGCCAGTCTGGGAACCAGCCTAGGCGACAAAATCAGAGTGCAAGCTCCGATTTAGTGTCACACTGGTAGGACAGCTGGTCGTGGTCCTTATTCTGGGTGTCACATATGTATGACACCCAGTGCAAGTGGGTTAACTGGTTACACATACACCAAAATTTGAGCATTATGCTTACTTGAGTGGTGATTCTCCAAGGTGTGTGGCTTGTAGGACAGGCCTACTCTTACTGAATATCAAGACTCCTTGCCTGCTCTTTGCATTGCTATTAACTCATATCCTAAGGACATGTTTAGTGCCCTTTACCAAGGTCTCTTTTTATAATTTGTTATGAAATTTCTAGATGACTGTTTTTATTGAGCAGAATCCATATTATATATCCAGGCAGTCTACAACTCAGTGTAATATCAGTAACATTATTATTTCAAAGATATTTTTGTATCATTAAATTTCCTGCACATGGAAATAGTGTCCTCCCTGGAGCTACGGCTGTGCCAGTCATAGTGCACAGATGATACAGGCTATCCACATTTACCAGTGGAAATAATGCAAGAGCCCCTTCTTAAAGACCCACTGAGGCTAATTTCCTTCCAAAATCTTTGTGCATTCACTGTGGGATGTCCCCATAAGCCACTACTTGGCAGCAACATCTCTTTATGAGGTAGTCCTGTCACCTCGGCCCTCAGCCAATGTTTTCCATGACAAGACATTCCCATCACTCACCCTTTGTCCAAAATATCTTCATAATGGAATGTCCTCATTACCCTGTAATACAGCCAAGATTTTCCATGACGAGACATTCCTGTCACCCAGCCCCTTCCCAAAAAACCTTCATGATGAGATCACGCTGTAATACATCAGTAGCATTATATTATTTTAGAAATATTTTTGTATTATTGAATTTTCCTTAATACTTATTGTGCAGCTTTTCACGGCAGTCAGGAACAGACTCTTGCACTAAGAAATCCTGGAAATCTTCCCGGGAGCTGGTGTTGTCGCAGACATGGCTCACAGATGGTACACTCTACCCACTTTTACCTGTGGAAATAATGCAAGAGTCCTTTCCTATAGGCCCACTGAATCTAATCTCATTCCAAAAACTTTGTGCACACAGTGAGATTGAAGATGGTGAATAAAAACATTCTGGGTACCACCACACGCCAAAAGTTAACAATTAATACAAAAGTCACACACAGTCTATTTTCATATTACGGAGACTGGTAATACAGAAGTAGAAAGAAACGTGAAAGTCATTTGTTTATTATACTAACCCCTAAAAACCACAAACCCACCAGCTTGTCTGTCCTCTCTGCTGCTGAAAGTTCCCTTTTACATATCAGGAAATGTGTATTTTATTATCATATATCAAACAAAAAGAGCAAAATCTTTTAAAGTTTGAAAATGATCCTTTGCTTGTGAATAAGAATAGGATTACATGTAACGTAACAGATTTTTTTTTTTTTTTCGTTATATTAAACAAAAAAGTGTATATTTTGATATATTTGATAAGGATCTTCATATATGAATGTTTTTAGAAATTATGTATTAGGAAGTAATCCATAATAGTATGGTTTTTAGGGATGAATGTCTCATAACTAGGGACAGGAAAGGACCCCTATGTCAGTTTTATCCCTGTGATGTTTGTTGACTCCCTTTAATAAAAACAAAAACTATGAAATTACAATTACCAGCTACTTCACTAATTGCTAAAATGATATTTTGATAAACAGTTATAAATGCTTTCTCTTGTTAATTATGCATGGAGGTATGAACAGTTATCATAGTATTCGATTTTCTAATTTTAACATTCTGTATGGAGCTCAAGTGGGGAACAGATGGAAACATTTCACCGTCTGTGCAAAGTTTGAGCATGGATCTGTCTTCTGAAGTAGTTTTTTCCCTCATTATGGCTAATTAGGAATTATGGAATTGAAAGCACGACAGCTACCAGAACAGGACACTGAAAAGGATGAAGTTGATTACAGTAGGAATATCCACATTATTACATACATTTCAGTATTTCCTGCCAAACTACTGTCTAAGCCAGAATCATGGTGGTTGCTTCCTTTTATTCTTTGATCCTCTAAGGACAATAATACAATGCATCAAGGAATAAACAACTTTCGTATATACAGTTAGTGCTGATTCCCTTGAGAGCACTATGATCATCATGTTTACGTATCACACAACAGGAGGCGTTCTGTGGGGTAGTATAAACAGCCTTTTAGTACACATGATATCACTGTAGGACAGGGTACCGATTTGGCAGCGGCCAACTGGTATGAAGGAGCAGTGTGACAGTTGCCTTAGGGAAACTTGCAAAACACTACATTATATGTGCACAAAAGTTGTGAAAAACCCTGTCAGTTTTACAGCCCCTTACTCTGACAATACCCTTCTCCCAACATTATCTCCAAAAACAAGAAGGCAAAGTTTCCTTTCAAATTCATTCTGATAGTTCACCCATTGTCTCAGTTACAACTGAATTCCAAGCTCATGCACTATCTACCCTGACTGACCTCATTGGCGAACCTATTCCTGAACCTCTCTCCTCTCTTAATACTTGTACTGGAGCTGTTTCTGTCTCCCAGACTCATTTTCCTACCTACTACAAGAATTGGTCAGACTGTGAAAACAACCTACTTCCTTGCCTTGTTGATATGATGCAGTGGCAGTACAATGCTACACTGTGCCTCCAAGAGGCCAGCATAAGTCCCATAATAATATTGCCAAGATTAACTTCCAGAGACATGACCTCCCCCATGAAGTGTATAGTCCTACCGTGTCTAACCATATAGATCTCTTCCTAATCAATGTCAGAAATGTTCCTCTGCTCCCCAGATATCTTTCCCCTCTTCATCAAACCACTTCACCCAACTCCCCCTATAGAAATTCTTGAAAACATCCAAAACTTCCTAAACATGACCCATGGGTACACTGCTCCCTCATACACCTTCCAATCCTTTTGTTCCTATTCGCTCTACATTTTAAGTATTTGCCGATATCCATCCTCCTCCTTCTCAAGTTCCCCCCTATCCCCCTTCCTCTAAAACTCTCCCAATACACCCCATCCTTTTCTTCTCTATGTACACCATTCCCTCTTTGTTCCCCATTATCGTTACCACTCCCATCTGGATGCTCAGGTGAATCCCTTCGGTCACAACAGTATTCTTCTCCAGACCCCTCCCCTCTTGACATTCTTCCTGATACTTCACCACCTTTACCAGTCTCCTTTTCTCATTCCCTGGATTCTTCTCCTACTTTTCCAACAGCCATCTGTGTTTTTAAACAATGTCCCAATTACTAATCTCTGCTTTGGTTCAATTACTCCCCGTCTTTATACTTTTCACTACCATGCTATCCAATAATGTTCTGTAATCTTTGACATCTAACACATTTTATCCTAATCTTTAACTTATCTTCACCCTTTTTGCCACAATACTTTGATGTCTAGCACATTTATTTGTTTCAACCATTCAATATTAACCATTACAGCAAATTCACGTCACTCACCCCTCAAGCCAAATTTTTTCATGATACGATGGTCACCTCATCTGGATCAAAGGGATTAATAAGACCAATCAAAAGTTAATTCCAAGTATGATTTATTGTATGCATACCTGTATATGTGCATGCATTCCCTTCAGCAATCTTGTGTGGGTGTATACTTGTAATTTTATTTCAATAATTCATTGGAAGTACAATATTAAAAGTATGTTTCATGGATTTATTCTGTCCTATTATCTGGTAATTCTGACAATATCCTTACCTGACTGGAAACATTTTTTTTTTCTTTCTTTTTATGTGTGTTTCCTTAAACAGTAAGTTATTGAATTTTTGTCTGAAATATGATTAGTAAGAAACGTTCTTGGAAATCCTTCAAATTCAGATAGAATATGAATTTTATAGAAATAGCTAAAGCCACTGCACATTTTTATATTATAGTAAATTTGCATAGCATCATTACAGCTGATGAGAACACTTGTGTGGCTGCTTGCATTGTGCAGTAGAGAATCTGCACAAATATTATCGTAATTGCATGTGCTAAGGATTCCATTATGATATCCTTTCATAAATATATCTCAGTGAAGTAAGAAGTAGCTACTTTATTTTTGGAACTAGATAAGTTCTGGAATATCATCAACAAATGGATGATAAATCTGATAAATGATAAATTTTTTTTTCTTCAGGTGGAAGTGGTCAACGGCTGCCTGGAATGCCCAGAGACAAAGAGAAAATTCCCAATCAGCAATGGCATTCCAAATATGTTGCTAAATGAAGATGAAGTATAATTCAAATGAAAAGAAAATCTGTTTTGTACTTACCAAGTATGACATTGACAGAACAGATATATTTTATTCTCATATGATTTTTCCATATGTTTGTCAGTCACCTCATTAGAATATATGTAAGGCTCATTTTGTGATAGTAAAATGGATGTTAATGTA